TGACATGTTAGAGAAAGAATTTCTAAAAAATAATTTCCCAGTTGAGAGAAATAAATGTTTGAACACAGATTTACAGTTTCTGAAAAACTGCAGACATACACGATTTTGTAAAATCAATTGGGCACAGTAAATCAACTCCAAAAATAGTAAAATTTTGAGGGAAGTTTCTAAACATATAGATAAACATTTTAAAGAAAGAATTTCTTAAATATCACTTCCCATTTGTGAAAACTCATCTGTTTTGTAAAAACATGCATGAACATGCACGAACGAAAAACATGATTTTGTAAATTCCATTAAACATAACAAATCAATTCCAAACTTGATGAAACTTTGCAAAATGTTTATAAATATAAAAACAAACATGTTAAAAAAATAAATTTTCAATTTTCATTTCTCAATTGTGAAAACTCATTATTTTGTAAAAACATGCATGAATATGAATTTGTTAAGAACATGTTTTTGACAAAAAGAGTTTAAACGCATACAATTTACAAAAAGAAGTATATGCATGAAGTAAATGAATATATAATTTATAATTCACATGCATATAAACAAGAAAGAATATACTCATAATATTTCTCCCCCTTTGATAATATCAAAAAGGGGACAAAAGAATTAAGAGAGCGAAAGCTCCCCCTACAAATAAGCATGGGTGAGTATGAAGCAAGTATATGGATTTCTCCCCCTATCAAAAAGCCATATGAAATATAAGCAATAAAAGATCATGGCAAACATGTGAGCAAGCATAAATAATATGCCAAAAACACTCACATTCAAGAGATAATGAGAACATATATAAATATATCAAGATGAACATATTGTCTCATTTCATAAAAGCCAATGTATAAAATAGATTTATGAAGTCAAAAGAAGAGAAACATGAGAATTATGTAAAAAGTTTTCAAATGAAAACAAATCAACCAATTGAAATCATAAATCAAAGTTTAAATCATAAAACCAAATCATCATTGATTTTCAAAAATCAAGAGAGGCAACTCTATCTAGCTCTTGAGCTAGTATTAACCCATATGAACATTTTAGCATCCGGTAAACATGATTTGGGAATAAACACCCAATAAATCCGGAGGGTTATATAAGTACAAACCTCTCATCAAAACAAAACCAATAATCTTGAAAACAAAAGAGTTTGACCAATAAAAGGAATTTTTTTCATAAAAGTTTAAAATACATTTTTCAAAACCAAGAAAAAGAAAAATAAAAACACTAAAATTCTTGGTTTAAAATCAAATTTGTTTTGGTACCCAAGTATTCTTGGTACCAAAAGATTTAGGGACATGACCCCTATCATTAAAGCTCAAAGTCCTAGGGTTATGAACCCTCTTGGACATATGTGGTGCACGGGATCGGTCATAGCAATAATCACTCAAATGACCCTTCCGATTGCAATATGTACAATGGAAAGGAAGCATTTGCTTATGTTGACCATTAAAAGGTGCATGTGGAACATTTGCAAATAGAAATAATGTTGGTCTACTTGAAATATTTTGCGATTTAGAAACTTTTCTCAAATCAAAACAAAACTTAGCTAAGTGACCAACTCTACCACAAAAATCACAATGATACACATTATCATGCTTATGATGAACAATGGGTGCATGTGTGTGTACATGTGATGAAGAAGAAGCCTTATGAAATGCACATGGAGTATTAGCAATCTTAGGTTTGTGTGCATCATAGCAAAATTTAGCAAGGTGGCCTTTACGATCGCAAATAGAGCATTTGTAAACTTTGCTATACAAGTGTACATAGTATGTAGGTGATTTTATAGCACTAGACTTAGCACACTTGTCCATAAGTTTCTTATGGTTATCAATGCATGTTTTTAAAGTTGAATCTAAGCATGATATGCGTTCCTTAACAAGATTCAAATCATCATTATGCACAACATCATTGATAATAGAAGTAGAGCATGTATGGTTATCAAAATCATTTCTAATAGCTACTACTTCTAGCATGACATTATCTCTTTCATGAGTTAACTTAGCAAAGTTTGAAAGCAAAGAATCATGATCCAATTTAAATTTTTCATTGTTTTCTTTAAGGATCATATTTTCATTAGAAATAGTATCAAACTTAGATGCTAACAACTCATGATCGGATTTCAAGTCCTCATGCTTGCTTTTTAAATCAATAAAATTTTTATGCAATAAGTTATAGGCATGCAACAATTTTTCACTGGCACAAGCAAGTTCATCACTAGATAAATCATTAGTGGTTTCAAACTCGCAAACCTCACTAGGGCTATCGCCTAGTGCACGTGTGCATGAAGCTCCATATGAACTTGAAGCGGGATCCTCCAAAGCTTGTCGGATCGCCTCCAAGTCTCCTTGATGCGCTTCTATGAATTTCCATAATGTATAAGCGCTATCAAAAGAATCAAGCTTGTTAGACATAAATGAATCAAATGCTTGTTAGACATAGATGAATTAAAAGCATTTAGCAAATATTCTAACAAAATATTGTTCATTGTAAACATACGATGATCATTTTTATTCCACTTGGATTTCTCTAAAGTGGGCACAATATAAGCATCATCTATAATTTCCCATAAATCAAAGTGTTTAGATTGAACAAAAAGTTTAAATCTAACACACCATTGGGCATAGGGGAAATTATCTAATCTAGATTAAAAATAATTAACAAGTTGTATTCTTGCAAGGTAGATATATAAAGAGATATGTGCAAGAATAAGCAATATACACAATGAGATATATCCTATATGATGAATATATATATGCAAGGATATATAAACTAACACAAGATGATATATCCTATCAACCTAACAAAGAGATATAGACAATTATGTGCAAGGATATAAAACTAACACAAGGGGTAAACAATATGAACTAAATAGTGGATCATATAAATAATGAGCTATGGACAATGGCGATATAAGATATGAACATAAATATAAATGAACGCCAAAGCACACTCAAACACACTATATGATCACGGAGTTCGGACCTTCCGTCCTACGTCTCCGCTCCCCACTCCCGGGGAGAAATCCACTATCACAACCGGGTTTTCTACGCTCACCCGAATAACGTTTACACCTCACAGTGTCGGTTTTCAACGCTCACCGAACAACGTTCACTCCTCACACTCGGTTTTCTAGTTCACCGAAAACTTCACAACACACTCGGTTTTCTAGCTCACCGAAAATCTTACAACACTCACAATGTAACAAATAAATGATTTGTTCTCTCATACAAGGGGAGAACTCAATTAAGCATAACTCAATGTTAGAATCTCTCACAACCCTAATATACTATGTATGTAAATACAATAAGCTCATGTGGGTGTGTCTCAATGTGGGTGTGTGTAACAATGAGTAAATAAAATCAAATCAACTAAACTCAAATATAAAATCTAGCTTAAGAACAATGATAATCAAACAAGTATATAAATGTAAAGCTAGAGTTTGAGTTTAGAAAACTTCTCAATTGACAACAAGAGATGGAGGGAGGATAGTTGGAAGCTCAAACTTCAATAGATAATCTCCTCAAGCTCTTGTGGAATTGATTCACAAAAACCGAAACACTCAAATACTTAAAAGCTTCTTAAAACAAACTTAAGAAAACACTAAATAAGTTTAAACTCTTGTTAAAATCTTTTAAACCATTCTCTTAGATTGCTTAGTTAGAACTGAGGTAAGGGGGGTATTTATAGAAACCCCAAAGCCAAGAGAAAGCTAAGAAAAAGACCAAAAAACCACTCTGCAACGGCTCTAAAAATAGCCGTTGGAACTGAGTTGATAGTGCTAAGAAAAAGACCAAAAAACCACTCTGCAACGGCTCTAAAAATAGCCGTTGGAACTGAGTTGATAGTGCGGCGGTCGACCGGTGCGGTCAACCACAAACAACAAAAAACAGAACAAAAACTTCCAGACAGTTCGTCGGTCGACCGCACTGTAGCGCGGTCGACCGCGGGTACTGTAGCAGGTATATCCAGTTTTATAAAATCAGTTAAAAATAGTAAAACAGTTCCAAAAATTATGAAATTTTGTGGAAAGGTTCTAGACATGTAGAATGACATGTTAGAGAAAGAATTTCTGAAAAACATTTCTCAGTTGAGAGAAATAAATTCTTGAACACAGATTTATAGTTTCTGAAAAACTGCAGACATACACGATTTTGTAAAATCAATTGGGCACAGTAAATCAACTCCAAAAATAGTAAAATTTTAAGGGAAATTTCTAAATATGTAGGTAAACATTTAAAATAAATAATTTCTTAAATATCACTTTCCATTTGTGAAAACTCATCTGTTTTGTAAAAACATGCACGAACATGCACGAACGAAAAACATGATTTTGTAAATTCCATTAAACATAACAAATCAATTCCAAACTTAATAAAACTTTACAAAATTTTTATAAACATGAAAACAAACATGTTACAAAAATAAATTTTCAATTTTCATTTCTCAATTGTGAAAACTCATTATTTTGTAAAAACATGCATGAATATGAATTTGTTAAGAACATGTTTTTGACAAAAAGAGTTTAAACGCATATTAAAACTTTATGAAATGTCTTCATAAACATTATAACACATGAATATAAAGTAAACATGATCAATAAAATAATATCACAAAGTTTTCTCAAAATAGCTCATTTTGTGAGAAAATCCAATATTGTGTGTGTATATGATATTGAGCTTAAAGTATTAAACACACATAATATAAACATATACTAAATATACCCAAGATTGATGAAGGTCTTCAATGAGCATGACTTGGTAAACTTTGCGGAAGAAGCTTGTAATTGGATCTTTAACTTGAATTGACGTTGCTTCACTCCACAATTCCGCCAACCTCCATTTGATATGATCGTTAAGGCTCGATTCCATCCATCCTCTAACTCGTTGTTTGCCTAGAATAAATACGAAAACACAAACAGTAGACAAACAACATTAGTTATAAATTGTTTGTTAAACATCATCAAAACAAGAAGGCCAACATTTTGTAGAGCAGACATGGATTCAATAGCTAAAATAAATAACTATCTTCAAGAATTCAGTAGAGTATCTGGGATAGAGGCTAACTCTTGCAAGAGCTCTGTTCTCATGAGTGGGATTGAAGACAATTCACAGGCACAAATATGTACATACTTAAACTTCCCAGAGGGTTCTTTGCCTATGAGATATTTAGGAATGCATTTGGTTTCAAAAAGACTTTCTTTCCTGGACTACTCATCTTTGATCTCAAAAATATCAGATCAACTTCAAAACTGGCAATGCAGGAAGAACTTGTCATATGCTGGGAGAATTCAACTAACCAAGACTGTTACCTTGGGGATTCAAATATACTGGACAAGTAATTATATTCTGTCGATTAAGGTGCTAGAAAAGATTGATATGTTATGCTCTGCTTTCTTGTGGGGAAGCAAAATCCACCTTGTCTCCTGGATAGAGATTTACAAGGATAAAAAGTTAGGAGTATTGGGTCTATTGTCTGCCAAAATATGGAATTATGCTGTAGCTATCAAGATGTTATGGATGATACACTCTAAAAAGGACCTCTTGTGGATAAAATGGGTGCATGGAAATTACTTAAAATATTAGGAAATCTGGCAAGTCCAACCGAAGAGAAGTGATTCATGAATGTGGCGACAAATCCTAAGGGTGAGGGATTTGGCAATGAGAGGGTTTGGGAATGTGTATAATCTACATAGAATCATCGCTAACTGTCACGAAAATGGTAGAATGAAAATTTCATTTGTCTACAATGCTATCTCTCAACCCACGGCTATTGTACCCTAGGCGAATACAGTGTGGGGAGGCTTGCATTATCCCAAGCATTCAATAATCCTATGGTTTGCAGTTCTATCAGGGCTTCTGACTAAGGTTGTGTCGCATGGGTATGCAGGATATCAATCAGTGTGTCCTATGTGATAATTCTGTTATGGAGTCCAGAAATCACTTGTTCTTTGAGTGCCGATACTCTTCTTATGTATGGAACAATCTGATGGCGTGGCTAGAGTATTCATGGAGATCTTGTAGCTGGGATCATGTAATGGGATGGTACACCAACAACTTGAGGGGTTTTGGATTCATGAAGAAGTTAAAAAGAATGACATTATCAGGGGCTGTCTACTGGATATGGAAGGAGAGAAATATGAGGATTTTTCAGCAAAAAACCAGCAGTCCTGATCAACTTATTAAAGAAGTGAAGATTTTAGTACTCTTAAAAGTTCTAAATGTAGATATTCCTGAGCACTTGAGCGAAAAAATAGGAAAATTGTAAGCAGGTTGTGAGGCTTCGGTTTTTGATTGCCAGAACATTTTCTGGTAGTCTTGTTGCACTCTCATTTCAAAATTTGGTGATGAATAAAATCTTTTTTCATTGACCGAAAATAATATTTTTTTTTTGGTCAATGAAAAGAGATTTTATTCATTACCAAATGTAGAAATTGTGTACATCTTGATACTCAATATGTGAGATATCCCTCATTATGATACAGGAACAAAGAACAAGCTATTTACAGGTTACTATACTAGCATCAGAAGCTTATAATCCTCCGAATGATCACTGTTGAGAATAATTGACAGAACATCAATTTTTATGTCTCTGATTAATTGCAGCTACAGTCGAAAAACAGATGATTTCTACTTTCAGGAACAGCACCAGAGCATAAATTGCAGTGATTGATATTGATAATCCCCCTTTTCAGAAGTTTATCCTGAGTGAGAAGTCTATCATGAGCAGCTAACCAAAGAACAAAAGCATGTTTTGGAAAGCTCAGACATTCCCAAACAGTTTCACGCCATAGAACATTAGCTGCTGCTGGATACAGGGCATTATATAGGGCTGATAGCTTCAGTTTAGAGTTAGTATGACAGGAACTAATTAGTTGCTTCATGTTTGATATACCACCACAGAAGATCAACACTTTATCACGGATTTTCAAGAGCTGTTTCCACATCCATGAGTCCCCAACTTTGATTTCAACTTGCCAGATATCTCTATTTTTCAGATATGTTTCATGAAGCCACTTGATCCAAAGAAGCTCTTTATTAGTATGAATATACCAAAGATTCTTTAGAGCAGAAGCAATGTTCCATGTGACAGCTGAGAATATCCCTAAACCACCCTGAGCTTTCTCTCTACAAACTATGTCCCATGAGACAAGAGGATGTTTGAAAGTATTATCTGTTTTTCCCCAGAGAAAATTCCTGCACAGCATGTCAATTCTTTGAAGAACTTTAGTTGGTAGAATGTAGCTTGACATCCAATATAATTGGACTCCCAAAATAACACTTTTGATGATCTGTAGTCTCCCCGCATAGGATAAATGCCTGTGTGACAGCCAATTTTGAAACTGACTTGTGATCTTGTTGAATAATGGATTACAGTCTTCAAAAAACAGTCTCTTGCACACTAATGGAACCCCCAGGTATCTAATTGGCAGACTACCTTCAGAAAAACCAAGACAGCTCTGAATAGAAGCTTTAACTGGATCATTTACACCACCATAGAAAATTGCACTCTTACTAGGATTAGCATCAAGCCCAGTAACAGCACTGAAGTGAGCAATTTTCTGATTAAGCTGCTGCACAGAATATAAATCTCCTTTACTAAATAACAGCAAAAATAATATTTTTTTTATTATTTTATGTTTAACATTTTTGTTATCAATATGCTTTAAGGTAACATTTGGTTATAAGCAAAAGGGGTAAAACTCAGGCTCTGCATTAATGTACCCAATAGACAACAGCTGCGCAAGACATACAATATGCACCCATCATCTTGAATACTTTAAATTATCTAAAGCAAGATTTAGATAATGTATTCCATTATCCATTTATTATATATGAGCACATACAGACGAAGCATAATTCAATAGTCCATAGGGAAATTAAGTTACAAAGCTCTCTTCATGCATGCACACACTCACATCTTCATTTCATTCTCATACTAAGTACTTACTAATATGTTGCTTCAATATTTCTAGTAATGAGGCTCCGCCATGTATTCAGCATCGGGCATCTCGTCGGCGCGTGGCACAGCAGCGCAACCACGCATACATATCCAGGCGCTCGCAGCAAACGGCATAGTAGCAACGGTCCACGTCGCGGATATCCTCCCTGCGAGCGTCCAGGGTACCTCGCGCCAGGATAACCGCCATCCAGATGTCCTGCGGCCAGGGTAACCGCCACCAGGATATCCTCCGCCAGGGTACCCACCCCCTCCCCCTGGGTATCCACCGTACTTCTTGTCCTCAACCCCTGCAGCATTTGTCTTCTTCTCGGCTATAACATGGACAATATTGTTATCAGTGTCAAGAATTGGAAAAAGATCTCTTCCTACTGATTGATCATTGAAATAGTGCAATGCACTGTGTATATATATAAAGATACATGCAGAATAATGAAACGTATGATAAGAAAGAAAATTTTAAGAAATGGAAATACTATGTTTACCAATTGATGTTGTGTATGTGTGAATCAAGTTATACCAATCGCATTAATTATCTAGTATACATACTTTAGAGAAATCTATATAGGGACTTAGAGCATCTCCAACAGCTTCCCCATCTTCTTGAAATACTCAAATTTGGAGAATATAGAGTTTTTTTTTTTGGTCCAACAGATTCCCCATCTCATTCCCCAAAATAGGGAAGGAGGAGAAAAAATAGGGAGCCTTCCCCAAATCTGCAGCATTCTCCAAATTTTTTGGGAGAGCTTTATTATTGTAATAAATGCGATTTTTCAAAATGGGGAAGCTGTTGGAGTTGGAGCAAAAATAATTTGAAGAATATGACTTTTGTTTCTCCATTTTGAAGAAAATTTTGGGGAAGCTGTTGGAGATGTTCTTATGGAGTTACATTGAAGGCACGATATATACATCATGTGCTATTGGGAAGATAAAAGGGGGAAGAAAAAAAATACTTCCCAATAAATATGAATGTGCTCTTCTAAGTAATAAGCTAGTAATTAAGAACCCAACATTTTCACTTTGTACTATAAAATAGTACATCTATAGTAAAGTTGGCATTGATCATCATCTATATAATGATCATTAATTAATTAGAGGAAAACACAAATGTTAAAGATGTGTATAGAGTAGCTTTAAGAGTCTCACGAGATTCCTCGGCGAGCTCTCGAGCTGCTGCCTCTGTGGAGATGAGGAGAACCATAGCCAAGATAACACCTAAAACAAGCAAAGCTTTGGAAGCCATAGCTATCTTAATTCTTTAAAACTCTCAATAGAAGCTTTTGATGAAGAATATGCATGCATCGGGCTGCTTACTTATAGGCGAAAATATGAGCCAAGTTGAAGCTTTGAGGCTGGGACTGCATTTAAGAGAGTGAAGCGGATTTGCGTATGGTAGTTGGGGGGAGATGATTGATTGAAAATGTGTAAATTAACCATATCCAATGGTGGCTTGACTTGATCGAGCTGGATCTAGCAAGCCATGCAGGGTCAACTTGGGCGGCTAGCTTACTTTCAATTTGGATATTTTGTGACCAGTTGTTCCTTGTTATTACTCCTTGTAATAAAGATACTGTGGGTGCCCAATTTTAGTTTTCTCTGCATCTTTTTTGTACTGAAATTTTGCGTAGAAATTTTATAAACAAGTGGTGTGGACCATTAATGATATCATTTTATTTTTCGTACCGGTCCTACGATAATGAAATTTATTAACTAGGTAATTCATGTAAAAATTTAACGTTGATTTCATGGCAGAAACGTAGATTTTTCTTGCGTAGGCTCCACATGGATAAGTTAGATAACAATTAATCACAACAAGTTTGCAGGATCTCTCAACCACAAAGGATGCCAGAGGGTTCTAGGTAGGGGTGCATTTGGTCCGGATACGGCTCGGATATGATGCTTATCATATCCATATCCGCTTACCCATCTCGGATACGGATACGATATATATAACTGAGTAAGGAAAATTCATATCCATATCCGCTAAAATTGGATATGATTACGGATATACATGCGGATATATAAGCGGATATGCATGCAGATACAAAGCGGATATGAGAAAACTAGATAGTATTGAGAAAACATAGTTCTTGTGATACAAAAGAGTTTGTTAATATGTTCATTATAACTGAAAAGCTAAGATTAGACATCTTAGTCATCACAACTAACAACAAAATCCATAATCTAAGAATTGAAATTGTCGTAAGAGTATGACTAATATGTATTTGGTTGTTTCGGATGCGGATACGGATATTTCACTACAAAATCATATATGTAACCATATTTAATGGGTTATAGATTTGGGTAACCATATTTGTATCCTAACGGATATGATTATGGATATTTACTCGGATACGAATACCCTTAGTTCTAGGCCTTTGGTGCATGGTATAACTTGGTGATACTTGCCCATTCTATAGAGCAAAGAGGTGGGTTAAAGTTAGCCTCAAATTAGATGATCAATGCATAAAACGTACCAATTAGCCATCAACTTCAATGCATTTTTATCTTCTCCCAGACAAAATGGTTTGATCCTTTAAGATAGAACTAACTAGGAATGGGATAAGGAATAGGAGATGTTGAAAAATTCTTGGAGGTTCATATATATCAGCCCTTTTTGGGTGAGATTCTATGTAGTGTTGGCGAAAACGGGCTAAGGCCCAAGTACACGTGAGCTTGACCTTATCTCTAAAGTGTTGGTTTCAGTCTGATATGGGCTCGAAACTAGTGTTGGGTTTATCACTTTGCAGCGAAATCCGAGCACTTTACAATCTTGTTTGTGAAAAAACAAAACGGGAACATCACTGATAGCTATAGAACTTGATCATAACCTTCATCACCTCAAATTCAGAAAATAAACAGCATAAGAATTTGAAAAAAAAAGGGAACGTCCTGATCTAAGAGCCCAAGTCCTACACCAGCAGTGAAGGAACTACGTAGAAAATCATATAGGATAAAGAAAGGGAGAATTTTACATTTACCAACTTTAAAGTTTGTGATTGTATTAGTTAATGCATTATTAGGCACTCACTTCGCATAATATAGCTTTCAGAGCATGAAATATATAACTCATTATAGTTTTACTAATAGAAAAGAAATGTTAGTAATTATAAAGTACCACAAAATTATAAGTATTTTCATCAACAAGTATATGAATATGGTTTAAGTTATAAGAGATGGGGCTAGAAACATCATGCATTTAAATTGGCACACTATAGTCATTGACTTGAGGCAAAGCTAGCTAGTTTGTTTTTCCAAAACCAAGGTAGGTAATCTGCATTATTCATTGTGATGCCTAAACATTAGTCCCACATGGGAAAATGAAAAGACTTATAGTGGGTTTAAATGATGGGTCATAGGTTTAACTATAATATTGATTGATTAGCTAATTTTGGCAATGGATTGAGCTCAATCACTTGTTGCACTCGTTGGATCTCAAAACTTACATCGGACCAACCATAGAAAATTAGCACTTAATACCTTATGGTTTTCCTTACTTTTCACTTATAAATGCTCACTTGTTTTTTACGCGAATTATATCTCTTGAAGTTTTTGAATTTACACTTCATTACTTTCTATTATGCAAATGTGAAATTTTTCCCTCTAATTTTCCCATGTGACATAAGCTGAGCTAAGAGATTTTTAGAGCTCAATTTTATTGAATTCAGTTAAACCCACTTTTTTTTATATGAAAACCACTAAATTTCTATTTTAAATATAATTATAAAATAGAGTTAAGTATGTTTACCAGCAAGTTTAACTAGTATTAAGGGTTAATTTTTAAAATTTAGCTTTTGTGAGTAACATGAGAAAACCTGAGAAAAGATGATCATGTTTGCATAACACAATGCATTAAAGTATAAATTTTAGAAACTCTCGAGTACACGAGTGTTGTCAAAAACAAGTGACGGAATATAAGTAGAGAACAGGAGTAATAAAACTATAAAAGGGATTTAAGTGCTCGCTAGCCATTTAAAATTGATAATGGGATGTACGTTCATTTCTGTTTGCTCTCTACATAATTCTCTACAGATCGAGGACTTCTATAGGGTTTGTTTTTTTCCAGTCAAACGGCCAAATAATTAATTAAATCCTTAGATGCACTTAAAAAGAGACCTCTATTAATTGTCTCCTTGAAAAGAATGGACCCATGCATGATTCATGAATATAACACTGGGAGCGGAATGTGATTTTTCGCTATGGCTAAGGAGGAACGCGGTTTCCTCCATATTTTTCTTTTTCTTTTTGGCAAACCAAACAACCGAAATTGATTTGGTAGAAAACGCAATAGAATTGGATAGAAAAACGATCTCTCGTTTTCTCAAGAGAGCGGATAGGAAGGGTGGAAATCCTTAGGGTTACCGCATCCCCCTCACCCTTTCTTGATCCGATTCATTCTCATGTTGTTTCTTTCGTCCTTGATCGTGATCAGATCTCTAAAGCGCAAGCCTCTCGATTGATCAGGAGCTCTAGCTAAGTCCTTGGTGACGGTGACGCACTTCTGCCGCTGGTTTCAAGTCCAACGCTGGAAGAATTTGTCTTCTTTTTCAGTTTGTTTTTATTTTTTTGATTGACTTTTTGACGTTTTTTGTTGAAGATTTAAACTTTTACTGCTGTCTTCCTTCTCGTTTTGAAGCTGATGAAGATCGGAGAAGAAAGGAAGAGGAAACTGGAGGAGGTCTTTAGAGAAGGAGGGCAGCAAAATTTGTGGGGTTTCTGGCCTTCGAACCTGATAAAGATCGGAGAAGTGAAGTTTAGGTCTATGTTCAATTTATACAATTTGATTAATTATTGATTTTAGTGGTTGTTTTTACTATTGATTTGGATTTTGACACGAAAGCCTATTTCTAAGGTGCAAACCTTCAATTTTGTACTTTCTTATTCGGGATTTGTTGTTAAGTATATGCGTTGGTTGTGAATGTTACGTTTTGGTTGTGAAGTTATCGTACACAACAAACCCATAACATTAACAACCAACTCATAACCTTAACAACCAACCCTTAAACTTCACAACCAATGCATAATCTTCACAACCAATCATTATCCTTAACAAGGAATATTCTAAAATTATTATGGTTGTAGGGGTTTGAACCCCTAACCTCTTGTCCAAACTCTCAAACTTCACCACTAGGCCAAGTGACATAAAATATTCATTCCACTCAAAATATATATACATATATATCCTAACATGTAACCTTCACAATCAACCTGTAACCTTAACAACCGACTCATAACCTTAACAACTGACTTGTAACCTTAACAACTGACCTGTAACATTAACAATTAACACGTAACCTTAACAATCTCCCAATACAAACAAAAACAATTAGTTTCCTCATCAACAACGAAAATAATAAAAAAACAAAAATAATAAAATATCAATCTCCATCAATCATTTTAACTATCATCACAGTAACATCATGATAAAGAGAGAGAGAGAGTGATAAAGAGAGAGAGAGAGAGAGAGAGAGAGAGAGAGAGAGAAGAGATCCATAACCTTAACAATTGACCCGTAACCTTATCAATTAACTCGTAACCTTAACAATTAATCCGTAACTTTAACAATCTCCCAATACAAACAAAACAGTTAGTTCCTCTCATCAACAACGAAAATAATAAAAACAAAAATAATAAAATAATTAATTCTCATCAATCATTTCAACTATCAGTAACATCATGATAAAGAGAGAGATAGAGAGAGAGAGGGGATGCATAACCTTAACAATTGACCCGTAACCTTAACAATTAACTCGTAACCTTAACAATTAACCCGTAACTTTAACAATCTCCCAATACAAACAAAACAGTTAGTTCCTCTCATCAATAACGAAAATAATAAAAAATAAAAATAATAAAATAATAATTCTCATCAATCATTTCAACTATCAATAACATCATGATAAAGAGAGAGATAGAGAGAGAGGGGATCCATAACCTTAACAATTGACCCGTAACCTTAACAATTAACTCGTAACCTTAACAATTAACCCGTAACTTTAACAATCTCTCAATACAAACAAAATAGTTAGTTCCTCTCATCAACAACGAAAATAATAAAAACAAAAATAATAAAATAATAATTCTCATCAATCATTTCAACTATCAGTAACATCATGATAAAGAGAGAGATAGAGAGAGAGGGGATGCATAACCTTAACAATTGACCCGTAACCTTAACAATTAACTCGTAACCTTAACAATTAACCCGTAACTTTAACAATCTCCCAATACAAACAAAACAGTTAGTTCCTCTCATCAATAACGAAAATAATAAAAAATGAAAATAATAAAATAATAATT